AAAAATGTTATTAATCCCAAAAGTACTAGACTGATGTGTGTGATGCATGGCCCAATTATATAAGGGATTTGAGCAGGAAAAAAAGAAGGTGAGGGTAGTAGACTGAAGAGTTGTGTTTCTAGGTCACTGGCAGGCACTCTGTACAGAAGAAGCTCTTAAGCCAAGAGAAAAATAGGTTGTCATTTTGGCACCAGAAGTGGTATGTGCTGGGAAGAAAATTGTTCCTGATGCACGGGGGAGCTGGGCTGAGCCTGCTGATGAGAGAGGTTAGTGAACCTTTTCTCTGACCTGGTTCACCCACAGCAGTCACCTCCTAATGTTTATTCTTTTTCGTGTTGAATTCAGTCTTTGCAATTTAGAAATCATAGTTTTAGTTTAATAAATTATCAAGTCAGGAGTCAGATTAAGAGTAACCGTGGCCATACATCCTCCCCTGGCTGCGGCTTTACGTAATGAAGAAGTTTCCATCCTGAAGTGAACTGTGCCACCTTGCTGTTTGAACTGGGCCTAGTTTGACAAACTGGAGCTGGAGTCTGAGCAGCTGGGCAGCTCCAGGCAGGCTGAGGGCAGTGTAGCTATGAGCACAGGGGTAGTGCTGAGCACAAGGATGAGGCAGGGGACACATCTTCCCATGGCACTGCTACAGCTGACAGAGGACAGGCTGTTAATCAGAGGCAAAAAAGGACAGACATATCCCACCACCCTTGTCCTTTCTCTGCCTGCCCTGCAGCACAGTCATGCTCAGTACTTACAAGACCACCTTCAGGGGGTCTTTGTGTATTGGGTTTCTGCTGGTCAGGGCAGAACTCGGCATAAATGTGTAACTGGCCCTTCCCATGTTACAGAGAGGCCAAGAATAATAAGATCATTAATGCTTCCCAAAACATAGGTCAACAGCACGGGAGCTTTCTAGGTGTAGTTGTTGGAGTAAGACCAACTCTGTCTCTTCAGCATGTCCTTGCAAGTCTGGGAGGTTGCATTATGAGAGCAAGATTCAGGACAAGAGACAGTGTATGGTGACTCTGGACAACTCCATAGCCCATAGGACAGTGTAGAAGGTTTGCTGTTATTTAGAGAGGCTCAAAGTGTTGTGTGGAAGATCTCAGATACTTTTCAAACATCTGAGAAAGACCAGGGTTGAAAAGATAATAACAAAGCTAAATCAGTAGCCCAAAGTTTGATCTTGTTCTAGCTAGAAGTCCAGCATGCAGTGTGGCTCTTGAAACAGAGAAATACCAAATTAGCTATATTTGCAATATATCTATAAATGTAAAAATTGTAGAAATAAGAGTGTTTGAACGCCTGGCTTCAGAGTGATAGATTAGTCTATATCCTTTCTAATGGCTGAAACCTTAGACACCATCAGCCAAGTTGTGAAAGCACCCGATGGAGGTGCTTAATACTGAGAGATAAATAGTCATGTTTGAGGTTACTCTGAGCTGAATTCTACCCTGTGTTACACCAGGGAAACTCCATAAGCTGAAAGTAAAACCCCTCTTTCCAACACCTTTTCCCACGATACCATTCTGTAACAATTGTTGTCACAGCTTTTCCAGTTAAATATTTATTCCAGTTGGGGTTGCTTAGAGGTGGTCAAATTACAAGCATAAAAATGCAAAACATTTGTCAACAATTATTCGCTTTTTTCATAGAATTATTCCTGTTAACAATTTTCTGGGCAGCTCTAGGGATGCATTTTCTTTTCTTTATATTTCACTTCATCTAAGTTGTGAGCTTGGATTTAAATGTCAAATATCTGTAGTTGATATAAAAGGAATTTGAAATATCTTATCTCTAGTGCGCTGTGATTGAGTCTGGCAGCACCTGGAAATCTCTATCGACAGAGACCCAGCAAGCCATCCTGGATGGATGGGTAATAATCTTCAAATGACACGGCGTTGTCAGAGCTTATGTTAGAGTTGCCCTTTACAGGGACATGCAGGGGTGCAGGTGCTTGCAGCAGCCCTTGTGGAATGTTGGGATTACTCCAACCAAACGTGTGCCTGTTGCAGGGATGTCAACACAGGAGCAGGCCAGCCCAGGCTCCCTTTGCAGCTGCTTGAGGGCAGCAGGCACCTCTGGGGCACAGTTCACCTCACCATTAAACAGACAGCAAAAACAGGACTGATAAAACCTACTTTATTTGCTTAGAATATGCTGTGACTTGGAGGAGCAGAAAGCTCTAAGTGTAAGAAATAATTTGCCACATGCTTATTTTAAAAGAACAATTACATATGGGAACATGTCTTATATAAAGGAATTTATTTGAAGAGTGTGTTTTTAAACAGTGTATAATTATGTGCATCCTACCATGAGGGAATAATTTTGAACAGAATTAGGAGTTTTGTTTTATTTTTTTAAATAAACGGCTGCAATCATAAGGCAGTTCACGCTCTGTTTAAATTGGATTCCGTTGCTGCATTTCTTCTACTATTTATCTACTAACTAAAAAAGAAATGAACAATCTCATATAAAAATCTGATTTTCTAAGGCAATCTCTCATTGCTAAGAAAGTATTCTGGATGAAACAAATGGATTCACGGTGAGTTACCTTACACCAGTCACTGAGTGAGCTCCGGAATAGAAAAGTTAGAAATTAAGGTGACATAAATTTTAAAACAGTAGAGAAAAGATTTTATTAAATAATGTGCTCCTGTTGTGCATATATTACCCTCTAGCATTTTTGAATGTAACTTCTAATTATGTAATCAATGAAGATGCTGATGTTTACCAATGAAAGGATTTTTTCCTGCTCTGTGAGCAGAGCTGTGAATTAACTATAACAGTCCCACAGACCTCTGCAGCTCCCTAGAAGTATAGTATGATGAAAACAGGTTTTCAGCATGTCCTTTTAAATGGGTAGAATCTACGTGGCAGAAGGATGATATGTTTACGAACATCCCTTACAGACACCCACTGTGCCTGATAAAAACAAAATGAGGGAAGGATGTTTTTTTTCATAGAGGCTCTACAGCAAAACAGCACTTAAATGAGTACTGGGGAGAGACTAAAACGAGGAAAAGGGAGGATATTTCTGTGCTGCTGATTTTCCTTATGCATGGAAACATGCTAACATTGCCAGAAACCATTACAGGTTATTCTTATTTACTGGTGTAATTATAATAAACATTGTGTTTCAGGGGTGAGTTCTTGGCTGTATTGTGTCTTTGACATCCAGTTCCCATAGAAGTCGGCAGGCTGAAGATTTTGCCCAAGTCCTTTGGAGAGCCTTATCCTCATGTTTCCTCGCAGTGAAGAGGCTTTGCATGAGTCTTGTTTACATTTGGCATTTCTTGGGGTCTATATTCAGCCAACCTTGCTCGTCAGAGCCACTTAATGCATTCCTGCTGCATACGTACCCAGCAAAGCTCAGAAGTGGAGTCTGATCCAAGGGGACAATATGAAATGAAGGAATGCCCATCTGACTCTTCCTGCCCAGCGAAAATTAATGAATGGTGCTAATGAAGCACATATTAATGTTTTACAACAGATACACCATTTTACACAGGGAATGTGTTACATGTTATTTTGTGCTTTTTTCTTGAGGGATCTTGGGTGAACATGACTATTCAGCTGTGGAGAGCAAATCTTATTGCTGTAGCTGAAAGCACGTTTCAGTTAATAAGATGTTAAAGATCAGGCAATGTAAAAATCTCTTCTTCAGAGGCTGTGGGCACAGAGCTTGTCACTAGTTCTCTCTGTATTTTAGGCTACTCACCTTTTAAGGAAGTGATTATTGATTCAGAATAAAAGCCAGAATCATCACTTAACAATTAGTATTTCATTGTTCTTTGTACACGGAAAGTCTTACAAACTGTGTCACATGTTTATGTATCCTGTAGCACAGTTTGCTGGGTTTAGTATTTTCCAGTTTTTGTTTTAAGTTATGTTGGTTATGTTTTGTTTAAGTCTGTTGGTTATGACTACACCACATCTTCCTGCAATGACCATATACCTTCTCCTACATAAAGGTGTGCATACCATCTAAAATATATATACAGAAATATAACCAAAAAGCACTAGATGAGATGTTTAAAATGAGTTGTTGGTAAATTGAAGTTTTATAGAATAAAATCCTGGTGAAAAAATGATACTGAATTGCACAAAAATGGTTCCACAGGAAGACACTCTTGTAATAATATTTTCTTGCAGTTCAGTCTAAATGGGAATTGAAAAGAAATGTTTCCTCTTAATCCTGATGAAGCCTGAAGTGTAATGGATGCTGTGCTTAGAGTCTTTTGAGGAAGCTGGGAGCACTGTCAGAGGAAAGAAGATTACCTGGGGAGGGAGTGTGCAAAATTTGGCCTTCTGTTTTGTCAATCTTTCTGGAGAGAAAAACAACTTTCATTACCTGAATGGCAAACATGAAGATGTAATCTAGGTGTTTTCCTGGATTCATTTGAAATCCTTTAAAAATATATAATGTGAAACATTAAATAGTACAAAACAAATAATGCAAAACAAATGCAGGCACATTGTCTGTTCAAAGCAGTTCCTTATAATTAATCAGTGTTTTGAGGAGGAATTGTTCAGCCTCAACATTGTTCCTTAATTAACAACATGATGTTAGTGAAATCTGTTGACAGAAGTATGGCTGAGCCCAAGCTCCAAGATGAGATTTTGGCTGGGCAGATTAACACAGACACATTTCATTTCCTCAGTGAGTCCAGTACCACAGAGGTCTCCTCACTCCCTCTGTAAGGTCATTCCATATCGCTGAATGGCTTAAGAGACACATTGCAAAAGTGAAGACTCAGGCCACAGGGAAGGTGGTGAGACTGCTTTTTGTTGTGAGAAAGCGATTAAAATGAGGAGAAGACAAGTCTTGAAGATTTATGTAGTTTCACATGGCTGTATTGGCTTCTTACTTCCAAAAGTTGCCCAAAATGATATACTGCAAGCAGGATTTATGGTGATTTTAATGTGACACGGAGCAGAAAATGTGTTCTCAGCAGGATATTTATGCCTGCAATTTGAAACCTGTGCTTTGATTGTTCTAGATGATAGCAAGTTTTCCGAGGCCATCACGGTGCTGCTCACCTGGATTGAGCGAGGCGAGGTGAATCGTCGCTCTGCCAACCAGTTCTACTCCATGGTGCAGTCAGCCAACAGCCACGTCCGCCGGCTCATGAACGAGAAGGCGGCTCACGAGCAAGAAATGGAGCAAGCCAAGGAGAGTTTCAAAAATGCCTTAACGGGGATCCTCACTCAATGTAAGTAACTCCCTTTTTGTCATTGTTGTAGTGATGGTGGTGGTGGTGGTAGTGGTTTTATCATTTTGCTTGTTTGTTTTGGGGGTAAGTAGTTGCAATGCAGTCATGCTCTACTTCACATCCTATTCCATACTCTATGGCAGTTTGGAGGATCAAGGACCATTCCTAAGAACTTATTATTCAAGGTGAGCAAAGTTTCAGTAGTTTTTTTTTATTAATAGATGAAGACGTGCTCTATTCACAATGTCTACTCTTGTGTAGACATAACGCCTCAAGAATGGACAAGACAGAAGCCTCACTGCTCTGAGAAAAGGTCATGGTTTTTTTGAGAGAGGGGATATGTAGCCTGTGTGTGGCAGCTAGTTAACTAGGTCAATTGCAGAATAGAGCACAATTAGGTAATATTTTTAGCCTGTGTTTAGGTAAAAGGCAGTAGAATCCAGTAACTTACAGGGATATATTGACAGATAAAGGCCACCTCCACAGTAGAAAAGTATGCTGTACTGCTGCTGGCATCAGGACTGATCTGCCAGTATTAATTGTGCAGATAAACTGTCTTAAATATCTAGTGCTGGCAGCTGTTTCCTTCGTACAGAAATACCATCAATGAACTTACCCTAATTAGGTTCCCTCATAAAACAATGATCAGGATACTTGCCTAGCAGTTTTCTTCAGAGGAGAGGAGAGGAGAGGAGAGGAGAGGAGAGGAGAG